ATGTCCACTGGTTTATGTATTCTGGCTGTGGTGCGATGTCCACTGGTTTATGTCTTGGAGCTGCGAACTATGGTGTTAAGCTTGTAACAAAATGGGCAGTGGATTTCAATAGAGAAGCATGTGATAGCTTGAGATGGAATCATCCAGAGACGCAGGTCCGAAATGAAGCTGCTCAGGATTTTTTGTGCCTTTTCAAGGAATGGGAACACCTTTGTGTCTCTTGCTCTGTGATAACAAAAAACTCAGCACCACATCCTTGCTTGAATATTTGTAATGAAGAAGAAGAAGAAGAAGGGACTACAAGTGATACAGACAATGAAGTATATGAAGTTGAACAAGTATTAGAAAATTTCTTTGGGGATCCAAAGAAAACTGGAAAGTCTGGATTGCACTTCAAGATACGTTGGAAAGGTTATGGCGAAGCTGATGACACATGGGAACGCATTGAGGGTCTGAGTGGTTGTGAGCAGAAAATGAAGGAGTTCATTGAGAATGGGTTTAAAGCAAGTATTTTGCCTTTGCCAGGGAGTGTTGATGTCGTATGTGGTGGCCCACCTTGCCAAGGAATAAGCGGCTTCAATTGTTTTAGGAATAGTGAAAATCCATTGGAGAATCCCAAGAACAAACAACTAGAAGCAGCATGTAGATACAAGAATGGCTAAACGCCATTTCTCTATGGTAAAAGTGGATGGAGAGCTTTATAATCTTCATGATGATGCTTATGTTAATGGTGAGGAAGGTAAAGACAATTATATTTGTAAAATCGTTGAGATGTTTGAGGATTTATTTGGAATGCGTTATTTCATGGCTCAATGGTTCTACCGAGCTAAGGACACTGTTATTAAATCACTTGACAAGTTCATTGAGAGCAAGCGTGTTTTCTTATCCGAAGTTAAGGATGATAATCTCATCGATTGCCTTGTTCGAAAGTTGAATATAGTTTGCTTTCCTCCCAATGAGAATATCAAGTCTATAGAAAGGATCCCACTTGAGTGCGACTTTTATATTGATATGATGTATCATGTACCTTATTCAACATTTATAAGCTTTCCACATGCTGAAGCTGTCAGAGAATTGGATTCAATTATGTCTAGTGAAAGTAGCACCGCAGAAATAAAAGAACATGTATACGAAAACACCCTCCTTGATTTGTATTCTGGCTGTGGTGCGATGTCCACTGGTTTATGTCTTGGAGCTGCGAACTATGGTGTTAAGCTTGTAACAAATGGGCAGTGGATTTCAATAGAGAAGCATGTGATAGCTTGAGATGGAATCATCCAGCGACGCAGGTCCGAAATGAAGCTGCTCAGGATTTTTTGTGCCTTTTCAAGGAATGGGAACACCTTTGTGTCTCTTGCTCTCTGATAACAAACAACTCAGCACCACATCCTTGCTTGAATATTTGTAATGAAGAAGAAGAAGAAGAAGGGACTACAAGTGATACAGACAATGAAGTATATGAAGTTGAACAAGTATTAGAAAATTGCTTTGGGGATCCAAAGAAAACTTGAAAGTCTGGATTGCACTTCAAGATACATTGGAAAGGTTATGGCGAAGCTGATGACACATGGGAACCCATTGTGGGTCTGAGTGGTTGTGAGCAGAAAATGAAGGAGTTCATTGAGAATGGGTTTAAGCAAGTATACTGCCTTTGCCAGGGAGTGTTGATGTCGTATGTGGTGGCCCACCTTGCCAAGGAATAAGCGGCTTCAGTCGTTTTAGGAATAGTGAAAATCCATTGGAGGATCCCAAGAACAAACAACTAGAAGCAGCATGTAGATACAAGAATGGCTAAACGCCATTTCTCGATGGTAAAAGTGGATGGAGAGCTTTATAATCTTTATGATGATGCTTATGTTAATGGTGAGGAAGGTAAAGACAATTATATTTGTAAAATCATTGAGATGTTTGAAGATTTAGATGGAATGCGTTATTTCACCGCTCAATGGTTCTACCGAGCTAAGGACACTGTGGTGCGATGTCCACTGGTTTATGTATTCTGGCTGTGGTGCGATGTCCACTGGTTTATGTCTTGGAGCTGCGAACTATGGTGTTAAGCTTGTAACAAAATGGGCAGTGGATTTCAATAGAGAAGCATGTGATAGCTTGAGATGGAATCATCTAGAGACGCAGGTCCGAAATGAAGCTGCTCAGGATTT